GCAGCAGTCCGACGCTGAAGCTTGCCAAAACATTCTGGGCACAGCAAGCTGCTTGGGTCCAACAACTCCGTGCTTTGCTGCTTGGTGTTCCTCATGACCCTATGCAACAATACGGCGGAAGCACCTGCTAGATCAACCCTGCCAACGCGCGAGAAAGCGGAAGGCGCTGCAAGCGCGGCGTCCACCTCGAAATCTGCGAGCGCGTGCGCATCGGCGCTGTCTGCCAGCCGCAGCAGCAGTCCAAAGCTGAATTGTCAAGACGCTCTGGGCAAGGCCAAGCTCGCGCTTTGCTCAAGTCAAGGAATCTATCGAACACTCCTCCTGCAAGCCTGAATATATTTCATTGCAAGTAGTCTCCCACGAGCTACCCTGATGCGAAGACAACCCGGAAGCACCTGCTAAGCAAAGCCTGCCAACGCGGGCCCGGTTGAAAAGCGGAAGGGCCGGCAAGCTTCGTGTCTACCGGCACTGCAAGGCGAGGCGTTCAACGTAAAAGGTGCGAGTACATACACAGGCCAGCAGAACTGTCTCTACCAGCCACAGCAGCAGCAGCAGCAGCAGTAGCAGCAGCAGCAGCAGTAGCAGTTTGAAGCTGCTTGCGAGGACATTCTGGGCATAGCCAGGCAGGTTGGTTCCAACAACTTCGTGCTTTGTTCAAGTCAAGCCAGCTTGATGCTCCTCATGATGCTACGCAACACTCTTCCAAGCCTGCATATATCTCATTCCACGTCATCTCTGAAGCCAACTGCGGAAGAACCTGCTAGACAAAGCCTGCCAACGCGCACCCCGCTTGAAAGCGGAAGGGCTGGGAAGTTTCCGGTCTACCGGCGCTGCAAAGCGAGGCGTTCGACTCAAAGGTGCGAGCGCATGCGCAGTCCAGCAGCACTGCCAAGCCGAGCAGTCCGAAGCTGCAGCTTGCTAAGACGTTCTGGGCAAGGCCAAGCTCGTGCTTTGCTCAAGTCAAGGCAGCATGATGCTACTTATGATGCTAGCTAACACCCTTCCTGCAAGCCTGAATACATTTCATTGCAAGTAGTCTCCCACAAGCTACCCTGATGCGAAGACAACCCCGGAAGCACCTGCTAAGCAAAGCCTGCCAACGCGGGCCCGGCTTGAGAGCGGAAGGGCCGGGAAGCTTCGTGTCTACCGGCACTGCAAGGCGAGGCGTTCGACTCAAAAAGGTACATGCACAGGCCACAGTCCAAAGCTGAAGCTTCCCAAAACGTTTTCGGCAGAGCCAAGCTGGTTGGGTCCAACAACTCCGTGCATTTCTCAAGTCAAGAAACACAACAGTTCCTCATGATGCTATCTGACATGCTGCCTTGAGAGCACGAACTTGGTTTTCAGAACATCTCGGTCGGCGAGTTTCAGCGTGCCGCCGATGCCTTGCCTTGCAGTTAAGACTTGCGAAATCAGCCAACCATTGGAAAATGTTTTTATTTTTTTTGTGAGATGTAGAGCAAGCAACAGAGCAAGAAAATAGTGATCCCAAGTTTCGGGTGAGAAAAAAAAGCAAGAAACAAGTGATTTTAGAGCAAACAGTGGGCACCAAAAAAGCAAGAATGAAGCAAACAAGAGACCAGATATAGCAAGAAAATAGCAAGAAAATTGTGAAACAAAAAGCAAGAAAATTGTGATAAACCCTCGAAACCAGGAAATCTGCAAATCACAGGAGATCACTACTTTCTTGCTTTGTTGGAGTGGGAGATCACTATTTTCTTTTTTTTTTCCAGGCGACGACCCTCAAAACCCGCAAATCTGCAAATCACAACGGGAGATCACTATTCTCTTGCTTTTTTGGAATGGCAAATCATCATTTTCTTGCTTTTTTTGGAGGCGACGACCCTCGAAACCCGGAAATCTGCAAATCACAACGGGAGATCACTATTTTCTTGCTTTTTTGGATTGGGAAATCACTATTCTTGCTTTGCTTGGCAGGCAACGACCCTCGAAACCCGGAACTGGAAGTCTGCAAATCACAACGGGAGATCGCTATTTTCTTGCTTTTTTTGAATGGGAGATCACTATTTTCTTGCTTTTTTTCGCAGGCGACCGTCGCCTCCAAAAAAAGCAAGAAAATAGCAATCTCCCGTTGTGATTTGCAGATTTCCAGTTCCGGGTTTCGAGGGTCGTCGCCTCCAAAAATAGCAAGAAAATAATGATTTTCCATTCCAAAAAAAGAAGAAAATAGTGATCTCCCGTTGTGATTTGCAGGTTTGCGGGTTTCGAGGGTTGTCGCCTGCTAAAAAATGCAAGAAAATAGTGATCTCTCATATAATCACTATTTGGATCCTCGCTATTGAGGTGCCCAAATCACTATTTGATGACCATCTGATCACTATGTTCTTGTTTTTTTGTCAACTGTTGCAAGTGCATCACTTTTTTCTTGCTTTTCAGTTTCCTCTTAATTTTCAGATTGCTATTTTCTTGCTCCAACCCTCACTCCCAAATCACTAAAAAAATATTTTAACCTCCCTCAACGGTTGGCTGGACGAAAACTCTTAACCTTGCAGCCAACGACGCTTCATATCCTTCACACTTAGCTGGGCGCATTGGCAGGTTTTGTCCGGCATTTGCTTTAGCGCGTGGCTTCGCACCAAGGTAGCTCTCGAGAGGTTGTTTGAATTCGAATATGTGAAGGGTTGCATGAGGAGTGTCGCTCCCTCATGCCATCCGACACTTCTCCTGGCCTGAAAATCTTCTGTAAGCGACCCTGTTGTGAGCTACCTTCACCTTCAAGCCAAGCCAGCCGAAGCAAATGCTGGACCAAAACTACATCATCGAGATTTATCCCGACATGTGCCCGCCAAAGCAAATGGACCCGGAAAGTTGTGGTTCTCCTGCTGCAACTCAATGCTTCCAACTCAAAGGCTGTTTCGGTCCAAGGGCGTGCTTTGTTCACGTTAACACCAGCCATGTTCCGGCCGAACGTGGCATGCCTCTGGCGGCAGAGACGCGATACTCGGCAGTGTGTGTTGTTAACGGGGCTGCTGACCTTTCCTGGGACGTCTGACTTGAGGTCACTGAGTGGCAAGTGCAATCCTCCTGCCGTTGAACCAGGTCAAAGGTTGGCCCATCATCACGTGTGCACCCCAGTCTGCGGGCAAGGATGTAGTGAACACACGTGCATATGCTTAAGGAAAGGAACAGAACATGTCACGTTTCACTTCTACATGCCTCTCCACGTCAAGGTATGACATGTCTGAGTGGCAGAGGTCAATGCTGGTGCATCTGTTTGAGCCAAACCTGGAAAACCGTCAAACCATCGCTATGGGTGTGGCATCTGTGGCTTGTTTGCTTCTGGACACGGTTTTCATCCCGGAGAAACAATGCAAGTTGCCTGCTGCCTGATGAACCAGTCGGCAAACAAATTGCTGTCTTGATCGGAACACGCAAGCAGTGGTTTCCCAAAAATCCCTCTGGGGTTGGGGCGCGGGGGCGAGGATCGTCACAAGCCGGCCGGAAGCGTTTCGAGAGCGCAGTATGCGTAGACTGCCGCGCGCGGAGGCGGAGGACGCCGGGGGCCGGCGTGGGAGGCGCAAGATGCCGCGGACTCCTTGCGACAGGAGGGGCACGCGCTCCAGGCGCCGCAAGCTTCTTCAGCAAGTTGAGAGGTTTGCCAAGCAACAAGTTGAGCGAATCCCAGTGATCGCCGTTGGTTTCCACTTCACTACAGTAACCAAGGAGCAAGTTGTTGTTGTTGGTGTTGCCCTTTGCGACCGCCTGCATTTCGTTGAGTTTGTAATTTACAATTGTTTGTTTGGTGGTTGGGTTCCCTGGCTGTCCTTGTGTCTCATTCGTCCATCTGCCTTTATTGCAAAACCTTGCAACTGTCTGCCCAAAAGGTACGGGCCGATGCAGAGTTGACATGGCACTGTCACCCGAACTGCCCTATGGCCCCCCCGAATACGCGATCCAACGAGCGCCCTGCTAAATCCCAACTGATGACCTGATTCGGATCCTCAGAATCAGCCCGTATATGGGGGGGTGTTTTTTCTGGCCCAAACGCAGCCTTTGAGGACCCTGTGTTGGCGGAAGTGCGCAGGGTCCGTTTCTAAGCTTCCACAAGGTGTCTGACACTGTGCACTTTCACGCTTCAGCTTCCATCTAAGTGGTGCTTTGTTGGTTACGGGGTGGTTTTGCATTTGCCCTCCACAAGAACAAGGGCTTCAAACTCAAACCCCAAGCCACCAAAGTTGGGGGGGACCTCCTGAGTGTTTACCTAGCAAGTTCTCCCACCGCACGTGCTTTTCCCACCCGCGCCCGCTCAGCACTGTCATGCCTGGCATATGGCAAGCACACTGCTACAAACGCACTGCCAAGTGGTAAGCACATCCGCTGCGTGGTAAATCCGCTCACGCGCCCCCGTTCAGCACTGCGGTCATGGCTGCCAAATGGCACATGCGCCCGCTCAGCGCTGCACACACGCCCTGCTAAATGGTACGCAAACCGGCTCACGCGCACCCGCCCAGCCCTGCGTCCACACCTGGCAAATGGCAAGCACACACGCTCAAAGGCTCAGCACTGCACCCCTGCCTGGCAAATGGTAAGCGCAACCGCTCACACGAACCCGCTCAGCACTGCCTGTCAACTGGAAAGTATACTCGCTCACGCGCTCCCGCTCAGCACTGCACGCATGCCTGGCAAATCGTAAGGATACTCGCTCACGCGCACCCTCCAGCACTGCACCCATGTTCCATCCGTTGAGCACTGCACCCATGCCTGGCAAAAGGTAAGCACACCCCCTGACGCGCACCCGCTCAGCACTGCACCCATGCCTGTCAAAGTGGCTGTTCGAGTAAAAAGCTGCGTTTTGGGCCCGGAAGCCAGGCACGGATGGGGCGCTCTTCAACAACCAGTCCGCGCGTTGTTGTTGGGCAGAAAACACGCTTTGTTGGCTAGTGAACACAACGCTCTTGCAATCACCGAAGCGCACAAAGTGCGAAAATTGATCATACCTCATAACCGTTTACCTGGGTGCTCGTTGAGCGCAACCAGTTCTACCTCAGCTTTTGCCCATAGTCTTTGCAGGCGAGCCAGCATACCAAAGTTCCGAAACTCACCTCACTCCCTCGCTCCCTCGCTCCGTGTTCTGTGAGGCAAACACTCTGGTCAAAACTGCAAGAAGTGCGGCAGCCGGATGGGTTTTCCAGCGGCAAGAGGTTGGCGCCGCCGCTTCTCCGGGAGCAGCGGGGAGAAGCGGTGTCCTTGCTGTGAGTCTGCTTGATGTCCGGCGCCGGGCTGGGGCTGTCAGACGCGCAATGCAGGCCGCTAGGAACAAGAACAAGAAAAGCTGCCTTAAGCCACGCAAGCCACTGGGACGGCATCAATGTGTGGAGCGTGGCTTTGCAACACCCACTATTTCATGTTCATTTCAAGTCGTTGATTGTTCATTGATATTCGGGGTCTAGAGTTGCGCTTGGCTCCCTGCTTGGCAAACAATGGAGCCACGTCCTACACGTCTCATGATTTGCTATGCCGTATCATTTTGCATACGCCACTAGCTTGCCCCACCTTACGCGCGTGGAGTTTTTGCTTACGTGCAGGTCGTTATGTGCTAGACATGTACACGGAGGCTTCGGGCGCCGCATTTGCTATGAACTTTGACTGCAGTGCTGGTCATGCAAGAGGCCTTGGAAAATATAGAAACATTCTGCATGCGGCACGCGCGAACTGGCGGGCTAACTACAAAATGCGTCCAGCTGAGTGGTGGGCGCTGGGTGCTTTCTGGGGCCGCTGTTGACGGCCCTTGAGTGTGCGCAGTCTTTGGGCAGCTAAGGCTTGTGATGTAATCTAACGCTCCTCCTGCAATCTTCAACATATCCCATAAGCAAACTCTTGCGAGACCAAGCTACCTTGCAAAAACTGGCCACTGAAGCAAACGCTGGACCACCACTGCGTCTTCGCATCAAATCTCATGTGTGCCAGCGTTTTGTAAGGGCCTTGCATGGGATGTCTCAACCTTCAACTTCAAGAGCCAAATCGGCAAGTGATGCTCAAAACGTTCAGAAGGTGTTCGATGCCATCCAACGCTACTACTCCTAGCCAAAACACACCTCAGTGCAAGTGGCCTTAGAAAAAGAGTAAACGTGTGAGTGTTGAGGTCAGTCTGAGTCTTGATAGCCGCTTCATAGCTAGCAGGCTTCACAAAGCTTAGCGGCTTAGCGTCAAACTCACAAAGCTCTGGGCACAGCCAGGTCAGTTGGCTTCAACACCACTTGATGATGGCAAGTCATTCCAAATCACTACCAGCCAAGCAGCGACTGCGCAATCTCATTTCAAGTTGCAGCTTACCCAGAACGCAACCTGCTGCGACTAAGCCACATGCTAGCCGGCATTGAGTTGACCCCAACACACGAGGCTGGGAAGCTGCAGCCTTACCAAGATCTTACATTTTGCCCCCCCGCACCGAAAACATGTAACCTGCCGACGCGTCCCAACGTGTCTCAGCCCCGTGGAATTTTCGCAAGATGTCAGTGCGCAAAAGCCGCCCAGCTACAACGTCAATAAATGTACATAAGTGCAGCTTACATTTTTGGACATCCCCCTCCTCCTCGGTGATTGAGGGGGTGGGGATGGTGTGTGCACATGCGTAGGCCAGCAGTACTGTGTCTATAAGCCGCAACAGCAGTCAAAAGCTGAAGATTGCCAGGGGAATTTGAGCACAGCCCAGCTGGTCGGGTCCCACGGCTCCCTGCCTTGCTCAAGGCAAGGCAATATGTCAAAGGCGAGGAGCCCAACTCAAAACGTCTAGGCACACGCGCAGGCCAGCAGCACTGTCTCTACCAGCGGCAGCAGCAGTCCGAAGCTGAAGCTTGCCAAGACGGTGTGGGCAAGCTGCTTGGGTCCAACAACTCGGTGGTTTGCTCAAGTCAAGGCAGAATGATGCTCCTTGTGATGCTATCTAACACTCCTCCTGCAAGCCTGAATATATGTCGTCATTGCAAGTAGTCTCTGGCGAGCTACCCTGATGCGAAACCAACCACGGAAGCACCTGCTAGAAGAAAGCTGCCAACGCGCACCTGGCTTGAAAGCGGAAGGGCTGCCGAGTTTCGGGTCTACCGGCGCTGCAAGGCGAGGCGTTCGACTCAAAAGGCGCGACAACTCTGTGCTGTGCTCAAGTCAAGGCAGCTTGATGCTACTTATGCTGCTATCTAACACTCCTCCTCCAAGCCTGAATATATTTCATTGCAGGTAGTCTCTTGCGAGCTACCCTGATGCGAAGACAACACCGGCAGCACCTGCTAAACAAAGCCTGCCAACGCGGGCCTGGCTTCGGCGCTAGCGACTCGGCAAGACAAGGGGATTGACTCAAAAGGTGCGAGTGCATGCACAGGCCAGCAGCACGTGCCTGCCAGCCGCAGCAGCAGTCCGGAATTGAAGCTTGCTAACACTTTCTCCTCACAGCCAAGCTGCTTGGGTCCAACAACTCTGTGGTTTGCTCAAGTCAAGGCAGCATGATGCTACTTATGTTTCAGAATGCTATCTAACACTCCACCTACAAGCCTAAGTATACCTCATTCAAAGAAACATCTTGCGAGCTACCCTGGTGCGAAGCCAACCGCAGAAGCACCTGCCGCCAACGCGCGCCTGGCTTGAAAGCTGGGAAATTTCGGCTCCATCGGCGCTGCAAGGCGAGGCGTCCAACTCAAAAGGTGCGAGTACATGCACAGGCCAGCAGCACTGTGTCTGCCAGCCGCAGCAGCAGTCCGAAGCTGATGCTTGCCAAGACGCTCTGGGCACAGCCAAGCTGCTTGGGTCCAACAACTTGGTGCTTTGCTCAAGTCAAGGCAGCATGATGCTCCTTATGATGCTATGTAACACTCTTTCAAGCCTGAATATATCTCGTTGAACATCATCTCTTGTGAGCTATCCTGATCTGAAGCCAATGACGGAAGCATCGGCTAAACAAAGCCTGCCAGCGCAAGCCCGGCTGGAAAGCGTAAAGGTCGGCAAGTTTCGGCTCTACCGGCGCAGCCAGACGAGGCGTGCAACGCAAAAACGTACATGCAAAGGCCAGCAGAACCTTGTCTACCAGCCGCAGCAGCAGTCCGAAGCTGAAGCTTGCTAAAACGTTCTGGGCACAGCCAAGCTGGTTGGCTGCAACAACTCCGTGCATTTCTCAGGTCAAGAAAGCACAATGATCCTCAACATGCTGTCTGCCACTCCTCCAAAAAAGCCTGAACATATTCCTATTCCAGCAACCTTTCGAGAGCTACCTTGGTGCGAAGCCAGCCGATAAAGCACATGTCCGCCAAAACCTGCCAATGCCCGCCTGGCAAGGTGTGAAGGATATGAAGTGTCGTTGGCTGCAAGGCAAGACACAAGCTGCACGCTGAAGCTCGCCAAGATGCTCTGGGCAAGGCCAAGCTCGTGCTTGGCTCAAGTCAAGGATCAAGGAAGCTATCGAACACTCCTCCTGCAAGCCTGAAAATATAAGTCTCTTGCGAGCTACTCTGATGCGAAGGCAACCCCGGAAGCACCTGAGCATTGTTCTAAATCATTGTGCGGGCCAGAGACACTAACAAATCCTTTCGCAAACGCCTACGCGGCGCTTCCGTGGCTGTGAGGGTAGCTTAAATGAGTGGTGTCTAGCTTGCAAACGCCTACGCGGCGCTTACGCGCATTGAGTTTTTGTGTGGAAGTTAGTTTGCGTGTGTGTTTCGCTTACGCGAACACAGCGAAACCACAAAAGCTGTGGAAACGCAACAGCTTCGTAGAAGGCATCCAAGGGGGCTACGCGAACCTTTCGCGAGTGGGCAAGTGGTAAACCCTTCCGCGAACCCTTACGCGCCCTTCCGGGACCTAGGGAAAAACCACATTTCAACCATATTTCCTCTCGAATACTATACTTTCAATTGCAGGTATTTAGAACGCTGCTCACCTGCTAAACAAAGACTGCCAACGCGCGCCCGCCTTGAAAGCGGAAGGGCCGGGAAGTCTCGGGTCTACCGGCGCTGCAAGGCGAGGCGTTCGACTCAACAGGTGCGAGTACATGCACAGGCCAGCAGCACTGTGCCTGCCAGCCGCAGCAGCAGTCCGAAGCTGAAGCTTGCTAAGACGTTCTGGGCACGCCAAGCTGCTTGGGTCCAACAACTTCGTGCTTTGCTCAAGTCAAGGCAGCATGATGCTCCTCATGATGCTATGTAACACTCTTCCAAGCCTGAATATATATCATTCCAGGTCATCTCTTGCGAGCTATCCTGATCTGAAGCCAATGACTGAAGCACAACCTAGACAAAGCCTGCCAACGCGCACCCGGCTCGAAAGCGGAAGGGCTGGGAAGTTTCGGCGCTACCGGCGCTGCAAGGCGAGGCATCCAACTCAAAACGCGCGAGCACATCCAGCAGCACTGTGTCTTCCAGCCGCAGCAGCAGTCCAAAGCTGAAGCTTGCTAAGACGTTCTGGGCACAGCCAAGCTGGTTGGGTCCAACAACTCCGTGCATGTCTCAAGTCAAGAAAGCACAACATGTCCTTTTTGCTGTCTGACACTCCTCCAAACAAGCCTGAACATGTTCCTATTCAAGCTACCTCTCGAGAGCTACCTTGGTGCGAAGCCAGGCACGAAAGCAAATGCCAGACAAAACCTGCCCATGCGCGCCCGGCTGAGTGTGAAGGATATGAAGTGTCGTTGGCTGCAATGCAAGGCATCACTGCACGCTGAAGCCAAGTCGTTCCGGGCACGGCCAAGCTCGTGCTTTGCTCAAGGCAACATGTCGCTCCCTCATGCCATCCGACACTTCTCCTGGCATGAAAACATGCCGTAAGCGACCTGTTGTGAGCCTTGGAGCCGAGCCACTGAAGCAAATGCTCCAAGACTGCATCAAAGTTTTATCCCAGCAGCCCGCCAAAGCCTAATTTTCGCCTGGAAAGTGGCGGTTCTCCTGCACTTCAAGGCATCTGTTTGCTTCAACGCTTGCCATATGCAGGTCGCGAGAGATGCTGCGAGCGCGTTTCGACTGTGAATGCCGCATGGGTCTAGGACACCGCGCAAGATCTCGTCAAGGTTGCCAGGAGCTGCTGACCGTTCCTAGGACGTCTGACTGGAGGTCACTGAGTGGCAGGTTTAATCCTTCTGCCGTTGAACCAGGTCAAAGGTTGGCACATCAACGTGTGTGCAGCCCAACTTGCAGGCAAGAATGTTGTGAGCACATATGCACGTGCTTAAGGAAAGGACAAGACCGTGTCTGGTTTCACTTCGACATGTTGGGATCCACACGTCTCCCCGTCAAGGTATGTCATGTCTGAGTGGCAGAGGCCAATGCTGGTGCAGCGGCTTGAGCCAAACCTGGCAAACCATCGCTGTGGGTGTGGCATCTGTGCCTTG